GGTGCATTGATAATTGCGTGATGATATTTATGTATTGTCATAAGCGCGGCAACGGCAACACTGGTGAATGATAACTGAGGTTGTGTTGTGTTCCTTTCCTTCCGTTTGAGTGCCCGCCGCGCTCGCGTACCGCTTAAAGTTTGTTTTTTATTTAAAGATAATTCCCCAATTAAAAAATTTACTAAGTAACTATAGGCGTATTTTAGCGAGAATTTTAACCCAGTAGTATGTTGTATTTACTTGGGATACTACATTTTAGCGACAGTGTTGCCAGATGAATTTTAAAAAAATCGTGAGAGTCGAGAGAGGAAAATCGTGAGACCAAAAATTGCTTAATATTGTAAGAAAATAAAGGACAACAATGTTTTTTGCATAGATTTTTGACAAAGTAAACATGATTTTACATCCATAAGAAATGAACATTTTATCATTAAATCTTGTATACTTGTTTTTCCGTTCTTTAGCAAGTGTTTCTGAGAGCTGAACCTCGTTTTCACTATCCGCTATCCGAGTGACGTCACCACTATCAGCAACTGATATTGGTGATGTCATCCGCAGACCTCGATGGATTGTTTGCGATTTAGGCTGTGCTTATGAGTTGATTTTTTTGGGAATTTTCAATTTAGAACAGGTGATTTCACAGTTATGAATCCGTTTTTTGGACTCGGATAATGCATTTCCTTCCAAGAGTTGAGGTCTACAGCTGACGTCACAGATAGTGGGGTCTCGTGGACTTGGCAAACACTTTCAGCTCAATAAGCATTCCTATATTACGTTAGGTGTTCAGGCGCACATGTACCAGGAGCAGCGTAACATAACTAAATATTGTATAGTAGATTTTTATTTCGATTAAATTATATTTGATTAGTGATTTGATTAACTACTAAGAGAATTCGTGAGAATTGCTACCTCATTGGTGAGATCGTGAAATTCTGATCAAAATCGTGTACTCTTACGAATAATCGTGAGATCTGGCAACACTGTTTAGCGATCATGGCTAAAAGAGTATGACGTCACAACATAAAACACAACATAAAACTCGGCACGGCAGTAAACATGTAACCATCCTACGAGGGATAGTTACTGGTTGTAGTATGTCAGTGCATCTTTTTCTAATACACGAAAATGAGCATATGGGCAAAACATCAGCTGATTACGATACGATTACCGACACAGTTCTTTCCATTATAAATAGAGGATTGTTTTTCCTCATTTTGCCATGGTTTTCTGTGATTTTATTTAGAGGTTTTTTGCAAAAAAAAGAAAAATTTCACTTGTGCACAAAAGTGTAAATTCTATTTTTTTTGGCATAGGGTCCCCATAAAATTCAAAAATACCACAATCTATCGAAAATCTTCACTGGAGAAATAATATTGAAACTCGAAAACGTAGTTACTTAGTAAATTTTATAATTGGGGAATTATCTTTAAATAAAAAACAAACTTTAGGCGGTACGCGAGCGCGGCGGGCACTCAAATGGAAGGAAAGGAACACAACACAACCTCAGTTATCATTCACCAGTGTTGCCGTTGCCGCGCTTATGACAATACATAATTATCATCACGCAATTATCAATGCACCCTAATTGCAACTATCTAAATTACAAATCAACGGCCCTCCAAAATACCTTATTTCAATCCAACACACCATACACAAAAAAAAATTATGATCAAAGGTAGCGCCATCTCTCGGGGACTTTTCAAACTAAAAAGTTTTATATCGAACTTTGCACAATGCCAAATTCAATATATATAATATTTTTTCATATTTTATAAATATTGAATTTTGCATGGGTCAAATTCAATATATATATTTTTTCAAAGTTTTATATATATCGAACTTTGCACGGTGCCAAATTCGATATGTATAATATTTTTTCAAGTTTTATAAATATTGAATTTTGCATGGGGCCAAATTCAATATATTTATTTTTTCAAAGTTATTTTATATATATCGAACTTTGCATGCTGCTAAATTCGATATAAATATTATTTTTTATTTTAAATATATGCAAAATAGTGGTCATTTTTATCTATATATTGTTTTTCCTGCAAAATATTTTGCATATAAGACGAAATAATTATGGAACATATGGCGCCCCATAACATGAATTTAAATTCACTTATTTGAAAACATTTAAAGCCGGTACAATTAACGTGAAATATTATAAAAAACTCATCAAGTTAAACCATACAATTATTTGGCTTTTATTTTGAGAAACTATGTAACAGAAAAGTCTAGATACATAATGTTAAGACTTAAAACGATTTATTAGTTGATTCTTGAATCGATGTAAATACTATCGCTATAAAGCACGAGATCAACTACTATTTGGCTAATAATATCCGACAGTAAATCAACAATGATCAAACAAAAAACAAACCTCTTTTGTAAAGAAGTACTCGGCATTTTAAAAGCAACTGTATATGGTGTGCAAGTTTGCATGACTTGGCCAGACTTTGGTGTTTTCTTAGTACATGACTCTAAACTTCGTATAGTAGTATAGATGATATAACAATATAAACACTATTCATTCAGGTGGCTACTATTGGGGACAGGTCTAATTCTAGACGTAGTGTAGACTAAAATGACTTGGAATTTTCTTTGACGCCACTCCAAATCAACATAAATAATTCTTATGTATTAACCTAATCATTTGTGTGTATGTTTGTAACGTATCACAACAGAAGTATTTAACATTTATTAGATTTTATCACCAGAAATTGCCAAAAATGTCAATAGAAAGTACGACAAAAAAACATGCGCCATCCAAAAATTGCTATTTGACAAGTTAAGAAATTTTTGTTTGTGATAGAGCTTGCTTGCAAGCTGAAAATACTGGAAGATTCAACCTAAGTTCGTCTGATTAGTCCTACTCCTATTTAGGACAAAACAAGTACCTATATCTTATAAAGAACATTACTAGCCATAGCAAAGCAGGTCACTAACCCAAACTAACCCATTTAAGGACTGCATGTCCTCGCCTTCACATTGGATTATGTTTGAATTTATCAGTGTTATTCAATGCCGATAATAGGTGCCCTGGAAGTACTTAGTTATTTCTTTCTCGTTGACTACAAAAATATTCCGAAATTGAAAATAAGATACTAATGCTTCTTCATTCAATAATATCAAATAATAATTATTAATATAGATATGTACTAATAATTTCTAAACAGACTGAATTTTTATTTCTATAATTATACCCCGGGTTTATTCGGAATTTATTCTAAGGGAGGGATCTAAGTTTCAGTTCCTCATAGGCCCTTATTGTAGGGTATTTCAACGGGAAGGATAACGTTTATGACTAATGGTCCTTCTCGATGCGGATGAGGTCAGCAAAAATTTTCTATTATCCCTCTCCTGTATTAATGATTGTATTTACTCTTGACAAGAATTATTTTTTAGATCTCTTGGGAATAGAGACATTTTCTTTCCTTGTGGATAAAAGTCAAGCCAGCTGGCAGTTATATTTATATAAGATTCAGACCTTAAAATTATTTGTATTCATTGTATTATTGAAAAAAAGATGGTTATGCTCCCGAACGTCATAACGTCAAAATTGAAGACGTCGACTACAATAAACAATAATTAACCAATCAAATGATTTACACATGTGTTACAATTTTGTGTGGTTAATTCGTACCTACAATTTGTACAATAATTTTACAATTCGTTTCAACGCACACTCTTTTAAAATAAATTACCATGATGATAGGTGGCTGTCATAATGTGACAAGGCGTTTCATAAATGCATGAGTATCAAATATGCGCATTGATATAAATACCACACACGAGGATGAGGTATTGTGTGTGTATACCAGTTCGGTCATTCACTGGATTCTTTTAAATGTTTTGGTAACTTGAAAAATATTTTTGATATTTATTTCGTCCATACAATTGGATTAATAATAACTAATAAATCATAATTATTTTATCTATTATTTCTATTGGCGCAGTCCACACAACATGTTGATCAACCAATATTCATAATGAAACATTATAAAATAAACAGAGATATAGCAATTAAACACATAATGTACGTATTGCTCGACCCCCGTCTATCCAGTGACTGAAATACTGTGCAGTTTTGTCTTGATGGAATAATCTACTCGGCGAATTATTGATCGGCGTTACCGGAAAATTCTCGAGAAAATGCAATAAGAATGCTTCAAACGGCGAGTGATGCAAACGAGGAGAGTTTGCAATTGGACCGTGAAACAGATATTATTATAGCGATATAGTATTGCGAACAGTTAAGTTTAATTTAAGTTATTATGCGTGTTGTAGAAGTGCTAGATTTGTCATGATTTTTGTGTTATTTTCTTGAATAAAATTCATTCATATTTGGAACCTACGAACCCGCTTGGGTCAGAAGAGGGATAAGTGCGTGAAGAAATTTTTGTCTATGGTGAAACCGATACAATAGACTGCCGAAACTGAAGATCAAATGAGCCCAGGTACTTGGATTTATGGAAGCAAGCGAACAAGAAAAAAAAAAAAGAAAAGAAGAAAACAGGCGAAAAAGAAAAACATGAAGGCGACAAACGACAGAGAGAAAAACAGGAAAAAGAAGATAGACGACAGAAAGGTATACAGGAAGACGAATAAAGGCGACAGAAAGGAAAACGAGTAGAATAAGACCGGCTTGGCCACAGACCATGCTGGACAGAGTGATATGTGAATTGCCTAGTAGTCGGAGTGGGTCACTTAGGAGTCAATGAAAGGCTAGCTGGAGTAAAGAGATCGGTATAACTGGATGAACTATCGTGGAGATGTCGAAAAATGTGACGACTGGGACACAAGGCGCGATTTCGAGTTGAAATGAAGTAAATAATAAATAAATAAGTTTGATTTAAATAATGTCGCGTATTATAGTAGTGTTGGTTTTGTGTTGAATAAAATTTATCTTCGTTTTGTAAAGTAGTCTCACTAATGTACGAACCCGCTTATGTAACAATACTATTTATTAAGCTACTAGGATAACGAAAAACACTTACCAGTTTCGGTATCGATGGTATAGTCAACCCCTGCCCATATGTCCTCCTCGGGAGCTTCATTCTCTGCCTTTTCTTCCTAGATAGAAATCAATTAAATATTGTTAACAACCTCGTAAAATGTAAAAGATCCGGGTAAAGAGTATCATAATTTCGCAAAAATAACCAATACGGACCTGCTAAATACTCAATGTTTCATGTTTAGATTAGTTTTAAGATTATTTCTCTGAAAGAAATAGCTGAAATTTTTGTATAAGATTAACCAAACAGACATGTACGGATGGTATGATGTTTATATGCAGAAAAACGAATAACACGTCCAGATAAGTCTCCACAAGATTGCATATCTGGTAGAAGGAAACAGGCAGTTGCAAAAGCAGAAGAGGCGGTCGGTTTTCAGTTAGAAACTCAGGACCATTCTCTTTATCCTTATCGATCGCAGACAGTGCAAGCTGGTTTCGAGAAAAGTCTCGAAGGAAATCCTTATAAAGGTTATCACCAGTATAAATTTTCTGTTAATTTTGGGCAGGAATTATTGACGCTCAGTTGGACCGAATTTATTTCCAAATCGCCTTAATGTCTGGGTGATATCTATCAAAATTTTCTTAGAGGTGATAGAAGCAGTGATATTAAGAACGAAAGTTTTCCCATCATGGGGTACCCCGGGGATCCGTTTTGGGCCCAGTTCTGTTCTTGATATAGTATATCAACGACTTTTTTTTCGTCAATATTGGACCGCTCACAAAAGACAAGTCTATACTTCCTAAGCGGTACTATGAGTGGAAGAAATTGAGTGGCGAATAATTCTCTGTTTGAATACGTTAAGGTTAAATCGTTCAGGAAATCAATTTGGAGGCGAGGAGTTCCAGAGGGGGAAAGAACGCCACAAAAAGAAGTCCCATACTTAGAGGTCCTCACTGTAGCCAACTTCACCACATAAGGATGGGATGCCTGTGAGGTTCTTGCGGTTCTTAAATAACTTCTCCTAATAGTACGAGAGACGGCTGCAGAGAATCTGTCGTCATAAGGTGGGCGAGCGAAAAAAATATGAATATTAGTTGAGGCACTAATTAAGAGAATACGCGAAGGTTGCCTGCGAAAATCCTGCCGAAACAGTGTTTTTCAAATTTTTTCATTAGATGAATAATTACAGTAACTATCTTTTAGAGGTGGGCATGAAATGAAATCACCATGTTGTAGGGGAGCGTGAGGGGAATTCAACCATATAAGGCTGCCTGCCCCCACCCTGCCGCAACACCCTTGCAGCCTGGCTAAAAAGGTAGGTTTTTTATTAATAACTATCGTCATCAGGTGGACGCATAAATTAGGTCTCAAATTAAAGGTCTCGATCTCCTCTTTCCATCAAACTAAGGCTGCCTGCTCAAATCCTGCCGAAAGATGTGGTTGCCTCGTTTTTAAAGTGTCCTGCACGTGCGCCGCGCGCTAGGTATTTGCGGAGCGCGAGGTGTTTAGTGGCGAAAAAGTTGTCTACAAAACACCGAAACGAGTTTTTATTTTTGCTCCTTGTCACTTTGCGTTACTTCTAATATTTAAATTATCGATAAGGATCTATAAAACAAAACGTCATGAAAACCATAGTTTGATATCAAGAGGAATTCAGGTCCATGATGGGGTGGGGGGGTTGAGGGGTAGATGTTGATTGGTTGCTTAAAAAAAAAAGCATGAACTTTTTGAAAAGAAACGTTTATTAAAGTACGTTCAAGTTGCATATATTCCTACATTTCAAAATTTAAAAATAGTTAAACCTAATTTTTAAAAAGCCATAATTTTCACAACTGCCAAAAGCTTCATGTGAAGATTGGTCCAACACATTACGTGCAAAAAACCAGCCTTGCGACGTGTTTCATACAGTATTTTTTGTGATTCATTCAAAATATTTAAAATTCAAAATACTTATGGCCGTTTCCACCAACTATTTTAGGGGAGCCTTAACGATAAGTATGCCCTAAAATGACATTTCATTTTTATATAGAAAAATGTCAGTTTAGGGAATACTTATCGTTAGGGCTCCCCTAAAATAGTTGGTGGAAACGGCCATTATAAACTCATCTTAACACTCACGCGGAACGCACTCTAAATCCTATTCCAACACTCAGGGATGAAATGAGATCTCATTTTAACACTGTATTAGAACACCTGCTTATTTTGGCGTGTGTGTTAAAATGAACAACTTTTGACAACTAAAGTCAATGTCAAAAAGATGACATTTCCTAACTAAATTTCAAAATATAAATTTTGATAGTCTATCGATGAATAATAGACGGTCAGCTAATGACAGATTTTTGCTGACCGGTTTTCTCTTCTCTGGGAATTTAACCACTGAAAATAGGGAACTTGCAAGTGAACTAAAATTTTCCAAATTTGTTTTAAATCGATAGTGTATACTGCACAATATTTATATGACCAGTTTTTATTTAACTGATACCGCTCTTGTTACACAAAAAATAATACTAACTTTGAAATCAAAAATTTCCCGCCAAAACAATACTTCCATGATGGCTACCTTTTTTGACGTCACGATTCTGTAAACAAACCTGTCAATAGGAAACTTGCAAGTAAAAAAAAATTACAAAAGCAGTCCTTCACAATATTTGTATTTGAAATTCTTCTCACGACGATAAGCAATAAAATTTATGCACTTTTTCAACGCTGCATTAGAAAATTGCTGAACAACTCCATTGTCTTTCCTATAGAGAAAACAATTCATCTTAAAACAAGCACGAATTTCACGTTTATTTAAAAAAAAAATAATCGGAAATGAAAGCTCGACGACTTCTACGTCTAAAAATAGATACTGCACTTGCGGTGGTAGCCCTAGCGGCCAGAGGGTGGAATTCCTAGGCCTGGCTTCGCAAAAAGCACGCGCGCGGCGCGTTGTGTTAGATCCTGACGTGTTGTTTTATAGATTCTTATCAATAATTTAAATATGAGAAGTAACACAAAGTGACAAGGAGCAAAAATAAAAACTCGTTTCGGTGTTTTGTAGACGACTTTTTCGCCACTAAACACCTCGCGCTCCGCAAATACCTAGCGCGCGGCGCACGTACTGGAAACTTTAAAAACGAGGCAACCACATCTTTCGGCAGGATTTGAGCAGGCAGCCTTAGTTTGATGGAAAGAGGAGATCGAGACCTTTAATTTGAGACCTAATTTATGCGTCCACCTGATGACGATAGTTATTGATAAAAAACCGACCTTTTTAGCCAGGCTGCAAGGGTGTTGCGGCAGGGTGGGGGCAGGCAGCCTTATATGGTTGAATTCGCCTCACGCTCTCCTAAAACATAGTGATTTCATTTCATGTCCACCTCTAAAAGATAGTTACTGTAAAAATTTATCTAATAAAAAAAATTGAAAAACACTGTTTCGGCAGGATTTTCGCAGGCAACCTTCGCGTATTCTCTTAATTAGTGCCTCAACTAATATTCATATTATTTTCGTTCGTCCACCTTATGACGACAGATTCTCTGCAGCCGTCTCTGGGACTATAACTGGAATGAGGCTGGCCAGATCGTCAGAATATCTCCCATGATAATAGCGCTAGAATAACGGCAAGTCGGCTATCTTGTGTTTATGTTCGAGAGATTGCAATGAATCTCTAAAGGCGGGTATTAAAAAACTATTTTGACAGATAGTGTTGAAGAATCTTTATTAAATTTATGTTAGCGTGTAATTAATTATTAATTAACGTTGGTTTAACTAAAGTTGGCATCTTATCGTTGGTGACAATATTTTTGAATTTGAAGATTATTATTCGCGCGCATAGCATTCATTATTTTTGATAATATGCACAGGTTTGAATGGTAAAACTCATATACGTCACTAGCGCAAAAACCTGTACCTTTTCGGTACTACATACGGGTCCTAAAAATAGTAAAATCATTGCGATTGAACCCGTGCGACAGCGAACCAGAAAAGTACCGTCGCGTATGAAGGCGTGCAACTTTTCTTGCCTTTATCTTTCGTTATTAACTTTAATTTGTGGTGACAAAATAACTTTCGGCTTTCGGATTTTCGAAATTACTCAAAAAACTTTACTAACTCAACTATTGTGCTGGGTGGATTGAGCAACCCAAAGGAAGTGATCAGAGGGCCCTCTTATTCAAGAATCTAGTGATACGCTTCAAGATAGGTGAGTGAGTTCTTATTAAAATCAAATTTTGTGCATATCGCGATCGATTTATTACCTCAATTATACAGTCCACTTATTATTTTCATATTTCCTGCACAGATAGTAAAAAGTTAACTTCTAGAATTACTATGGGAAGTAACGTCATTCCGAAGTTAACTTCTAAGTTAACTGTCAAAATAGTTTTATAATACCCGCGCTAAGAATTGGCTTATGGATCATTTTCACTGCTCTTGTTTGTACTGCATCTAATACAGATAACGAATGCTTGGGAGCGTTGCTCCAGATGTGGGAACAGTATTCCATACATGGTCTGATTCGAGCCTTATAAACGATAAGTTCAGGAGTAAAGAATTTTTTTTGCACGAAACAAAATACCTAATTTTTGAGAAACGGTTTTGGCGATCGAAGATCATGGTCATGCCAAGACAAGTTAGTCGATGCGGTCACCCCAAGAAGAGATACTGAGGTAAGGGGTTGATAGAAAGGTTTTGTCCCGATATTCTTAAAACTAGGTTATCACCGGCGGAAGATTTCTTATTTGAGAATACTGTTGCTTGAGTTTCGGAAGCATTGAATTTGTCTCGGTTGTTAAGGCCCCAGTTGTCTAATGGTGTCACGATCACTGTTGATAGAGTGAATCTGTTCTGGGGCGAGGCGTGTGGAAGTGACTGCAGTAATCGGTTTATCAGAAAAGAAAAAATGAGAAACAGAGTGTTGGGGACAGAATTGAGCCTTGGGGTACGCCGGAATTTATAGGCAGTGTATCAGAAGACACACCATCGACCACAACATGAACTGCCTTCCAAAAAGCTATCCAGCCAATGGCAAAATTCGTTCGGAAGATCATACGATGGACGTTTGCTGAGGAGACGTTTGTGCCACATCTGATCGAAAGCCCTGGAGATGTCGAATTCAACAATTCTGGATTCGCCATGTTTTTCGAGAGTCGAGTCCCAATAATATTATGACTGACGTACGCCAGCACATCCCCTGTTTTGGAACGAAACCCGTACTGTTTGTCAGAGATGAGCTTATTGGCTTCGAGATATTTAACCAGTTTCAGCTGGACTGCCTTTACCACTTTCAAAATTACCTACGAATATAAGTGAGATGGGATGATAATTGCTAGGCAGAGTTTTCTTGCCCTTTTCCGGGATAGGCTGCACGCTGGCACATTTCCAGATAAACGGGAAAACGTTTAGACTATAAGGGATTGAAAACAGTTTGTACAGAACTGAAGCCAATTCTTGTGCGTAACGTCAAGTATATACAGTTTATTTTTTTTTGCTGAACTTGGGAGTTCAGGAAATATGATAAATTTCGAAATTTGGTTAGCTGCATAGACACAGCAGATATAGCGATAAAAAAAATTCTTGACTTGATGGATATTGCTGCATTTGAAAATTTTTATCCACATTAACAGCGTGTCAAAAATAATATATAGATACAGTTTTTTCGATTTAATTTCTTTCTCACTAGGATTTGTGTAATAAACATAAATACAACTGTATCCAGATCGACAATTCGCGAAAAAAAGCACAGCGAATGTGTTTTTTGTTATCATATATCATTTAAAATATTCGAGTAGGTACAAACAAAGTAGTGAGTGTATGATACGAGTAATAAAGAAAAATTAATATTAATTTCTTACTTTAATTTCTTTGTCGTTAGTTCCTTCGAAGTCTTTTCCATCTTCTTCAAGCAGCAAAGAAGTGGACGGGTCGGCGCCATCTTTGAAAATGTCATTTGCTAATTTGGATTTCTCTTTCAGCTGTTCTTCTTGTTTGGCAAGCTCCAAGGAGAACCCCAAATCCACGTCCTGCTTCCACAGAACCTCGATAAGATCCATGTCCTGGAACAAAGAAAAGATAAATTATTAGACATTAATTTGAGAAGCAAATGTAATGGGAAAAATCCACAGTGATGGAGTGCAAAAAAGTCAAAACAAAGTTAGATGACACGACGACACGTGTTATTGCTATAATTGATTATTAGGAGATAGAATTTTCCTTTTTCTTCTTGGTGAAGTTTGATTGATGTGTTAAAAAATTCGAGGTGTTTGCTGGCTGATGCCACAAATTTGCCCTGTGTTTTTTTGTTTCTGGTTTCCATGTTTTGTTTGCTCAATATACATCATTTTTGTGGAAATTTATTAACAAATCGAGGATTATATATTTGATAAAATGAAAATGGGAACATTGTTTTGGCTATATCTAAGTATATATATAGTATACTATAGATACAGGGACACTTAATGCGAAACTAAATACCTAATGATAATATTATTATTAGCAAAATTTGGAGAAAACGCCAAACATTTTTATTTTTATTATAATTCATTGCGCAATAATGAAAAAATAGTTTACAATATTCTTATCTTTAAAAGGAAACACATCTTTTAGGGACCTCTATACCCATAGCAAAAGTTGAAATAGCGGTACTTACATCATTCTTCTGGGACATTCAGCAGGAAAAAATGTATCTATTGAAAAAAAATTAATCACGCACAAAAATATCGAAAATCACATTTAGCATTTAAATAAATTTAGCTTGCAAACAACATGGCGAGATGCTAAAAACTGACTAAAGATAACAGAGAAAAGTTAATTGAAGCGCGATAAAGATAAGATTTTTTTATTTCAGTTGTTATATTTAGCGTATAATATACGGCCTTGGATTATTTTTTTTGTATTTCAAGAAGTTCTTAGTAATAGCGTAATAGGTACCTATAGCTTTTATATTGGACCCATCCAACAAAACATTCCAATGTCTTCGAAATGTAGATTTTCAGGAGCAAAAAGGCTACAAGGGAGAAGAGGGACATATATCCACTCTAAGAGAAGGTTCATAAAGTTATATCTGGGATACTGTCATAGTGTCATATATCATATGTCAAGATCAATAATTGTAAAGTAGTTATGGCCGTAGTCTGCCATTTCTCTGTCATTGTTGGTTATTGTTCAACATATTTATTGTTATTTGTTATGCTATGATTTTGACAATCATATATGGCCTCCGCAACAAGTTTATATATTTTTTTAAAGTTACTTCAATTCAATTGTCTATAAATTTTGTTTTATGATATTTGATTTTAGCAGTGTTTATGATTTCCCTTATTTCGATATTTTTTAAATTCGTTGAACTTGTTTTGTCTGTGATTATATGTTGTTTTTTCAATTTGTTTCTGTCTTTTATCGGTACAATGGTTCTATTTGAGATCCGTGTCTTAATTTTTGTGTATTCTTTAACTGTTATGGTTTTTATGGTCCTACATTAAGAAACTGAGATATCTGTCTATAAAAGCATGATAGGCATCAGCTTCTGCATTAGATTAGTAATATCATGCCAGGATTCCTGGCAAAAAAGTTGAGAACGTTTTGTTGCGTTCATTTCAATTTTTGTTCTTTGGGGTTTATCTTATATCGTTTGTAGTCTTTTTCTCTGTGAGAAGTTAAGCATAATCGGATAGTGGTCTGTTATTCACCCTTTATCACATAGGAATCGATTTTTAGGTTACTAATTTTAAGATTTTTAACAAAAAAGTGATCCAGACAGGTCCCTGACATCTCTCTAGTAACTCAATTTATGTATGGCTGATGACATGACATATAAACCCAGAGTCGATAAATAGTTGATCACCCTCTGGTCCACACTATCCACGAGATTTACATTAGTATCTCCACAATAATTTCCGTGTTTTCATAGATATGACAGACCTAGAGATATAGGTGTCGGTCTTCAATAAACTCATCTATTATGGTTTGAGCTTAACGGCAAATACCTGTAATGCCGTATGATGTTGAATTATTTTGAGTGGAATAAGTCCCACTCATGGTTATTTTGAAGTTCTCAAGCTTGTGAAAGGTAACAGTGGCGTTCAAGTTTGTTCGTGGTAATATAAGAATTCCATCATTTTTGTTGATATCCCCATAGTTATAAATAACTTGTATAACCCTGTATTGAGAATTCAGTGAATGAATCCAGTTGATAGCACTCACCCAAGATAAGAATACCGAAGAAATTAATTTTTTATAATTCTAAAAATGATAATAACTCATCGAAGTTTTTTCATGCACTTCTATGTTGATAATATGCGCATGATATTTATATTTGGTGATTGCGTTCAGCAGTTGTTGATCTTCTTGTTGATAAAGCATAGTTGCTACGTAGTACTTCTAGGTGATATTTCAATGTTGTATCTATTGCTTCATGATCCAGGTTATGGTTTGGTTATGGCTAGTTTTCTATCTTTGATTAGATGTTTCACAATTTGCTTTTTTTTTCCTGTTCCTGTCTGAACAAAGTTACACTCCAGTTTGTTTTTCCCTACAATATAGGCACAAACATTTTTGGTTGTAAGCCGTGTTCTTATGGTAATAAACATTACATTTGAAGCATTGTGTCATTAATAAATTCTCATACTGAATATCGTTCCCAGCCAATAATAATATAGTTTTTTGTAGTACATTAGTTTTTTAAAAATACTGAAAGAACATTCAGCTTATATTTTATCGGTATCCGTTTTACGTTTAGTGAATGTTATGATGATCACTTCAATATCGACAATAAAAGTATTTTGGCTCTTGAGGCTCCTACTAATTCTTTCTTTCCCAGTCCCAGTTTTTTGGAGCAGTCCAAATAAGCGATTACATTTTCTAGAGGCCAGTTTACCATATATATAATAAAATGTATTTCGTGTTATGACGCGATAACCCTTATCTCATACTTCAATAGATACCGGCTTTTAGAGTGCATAATAGGTCCTCGACAAAAATTTTGCTTTTGTGGGTTCGAGTTAATTTAAATTGATTGAAAAATCCTCTTATCTTACTTAAAAAAAGATCCAATTGAATTATTAATGTGCCTGTTGGAAAAACAAATAAAAAAATCAGTATCGAATCGGCATACGAACCACAAAACGCCCTCTTAAGCTATTTAGGGCCTGTTTATTCACCTTCTGATAAACTGTCAGGTATGCAATCTGACGGATTAAAACGTAATCTGTAATCCCATTGGTCGGTCAGTCATCCGCCGATCACTAGAATTATAGAAAGGTAAATTTATCTTGCAAATAGTTACCAGCATTAAGTTTATCTGAAGATGAATAAACCGGGCCTTAGACAAATAAAATATAATGAATATAATAATAACGCAATAACGCAACATAAATAATTACTTATAACCAATAAAAAATGTTTTTGAAAATTCTTTTAATGGTTATATGCATGTAATGTTAACATTCACCGGCAGGTAGGTATGTAGTTGATAGATGGAGGAAGGCAAGCGGAGAGAACAAAACAACACCCACTTTTCCATTATGGTTAATAGAGGCAGAAAATTAAAGCTCTGCGTGTGTTATATCATAAGTTAATAACAAAAAAAGCGAAAAACCTATCAGAGGTATTGCCTGATATTAACGTGTATAGCTCGGTTATATCAGTGGCGTAGCGTAGATCAATAATAATTTTTTTCAGTTAATAATCTACTAAAAATAATATTTACAAAAACAATAAGGGGCAACATTGAGGGATTTATTTAGGCCTTGGTCAGAGTATAATCGATTCGTACTATAATGATTTTGCAGACCAAGATTTTTGGTAAAAATAGCTGCTCTACGAAAAATAACTACTTCAGTATATTTCTAGAAGAGATTGGAAGCTTGTGATTGATAAAAACCTCAAAAAAAAAAAAAAACAAAAAAAAAATCAATAAAATGCGGAGATTTGAACAGTGATTTGAATAGTGATTTTAAAAAAAAATTCTTTGGACAATATCAACAAAAAATAAGGTCATAAAAGACAGAGGGTTAACGAAATACGTGCCAATGACGAATTTCGTCAATCGGCAGTTTTTAAACTTCATATTTAACGTTCAATTCACGTTATCGGTTTGTGCTCATGCGCAGTAGCAAAAACATAACCGATTACGCTATTGCGCGATAGGGTGCGTACCACGTTAACAAGTTTTGTTTAATAACCGGAGATAAGCTGTGCAAGGTTGCCACCAAATGTTTTCGTATGTTTATATCAATCAGTATCAAAATAGAACAAAAACATCAATTCTACAAGCTGAACATATAATGGGTGTGAATGTAAGTTAAGGAGACTTATTATATTTTGAAAGTGGAAAACTTATCAAATCTGGTGATTGAAACAATTTGGCATCCTAGCGGACCCTCTATGTCTTTTTGGAAACGCGCCAAACTTGCTCGTCTCTTAGTCTCTTGTCTGTCTGTCAATTGTTAACCCTGCGCTCGTGTATTGTTTTTGAACGCCACTTTGTGAATTGTTCAAACAAGAAATAAGTACCAAAAACACAACACAAAACAAGCTGTCAAAGACAAAAGCATAAATTAGGTTAACAAATCTGGTGATTGGAACTATTTTGGCATCCTAGCGGACCCTAGCACGTTCAAATATAGGAAACACCTCATTGCGCATGCTCACATTAACGAGAGCGTTAATAGGGATGCCCAAAATAATAAAGGGTTTGAAAGCTCCCTAATGTCACTCTTCGGAGCTTGGACAAGGAAGGTATTAAATATCATGTGTGTCAAAAATATGGGGAACTATCATCATTGGTCGGTGAAGGTGTACGTCACACACTGGCGCCATTTCAGAACATTTGAAACAGAATTTGAAAAAAAAAAAGAATATTTATAAATAGATTATGAATTTTTAGGGCCACTTTACAGCAAGGGTATTTTTATTTTGATCCATACAGCCACAGAAAAGCATATATCGTGTAGGTAGGTGCCAAATAATAACATTTAGAAATAGTTCAATTTCTGACTTCTTAAACTAGCACTTCTGTTATACATTAATTAAAATAATTCTTGATTATTTTAGGTAT